TTTTTTTTTTTTTCCGCATGGCGCGGAATGTCGGACACAAAAGAAACATATATGGGCGTGTAGGGCTTTTTCAGCCCTAGACGCCCATTTTTTTTTTTTTTTTTTCGACGTGAAAAAACGCTAAAAAAAATGTTGCACCGAACTCGGCTGGTTGGCCGAGGCCGAACCCGACCGATTTGGCCGACGGCCGAGGCCGCGGCCGACTAAACCCCCCCGGCCGCGGCCGGGCGTGCAACATAGGTCTCCAACCCTCATTCCGGTCCCCACTCCTCGGCGTTCGGCCATGACGCCAACCAACAGTTGCAATACAACGTTTCGCTCCTTAATGGCTCTTGCGACTGCGCCAACTTGGGTTGCAACCAGCTTCGCACCCTCTGTGCTTGCCCAGGCAAGAGTGCCTGCCGCCATGTCCATCCCTTCTCGAACCGCCATACTAGAATCGAGCACAACTCTCTCCATGGACGACATTGGCAGGTGATCACTAGCACGCTCTTTGCCCGTTGACCCACACCGTTTCTTCCGCAAGCCTTCCGATTCTTCAACACTTGCACCACTATGGCTCCCGCCTTCTCATGAGTCATGCCCACCGGGTGTTTCCTTACCGGAAACACCGCTTTCAGCACCCTGCAAGTTTGATGATGCCATGGTATTGTCGCAAGCGGCTGACGGCTTTCGATGTGCCCACTCCATCTCCTCCCATAACGGCTCCTCAAACGGCATCGGGATTCCCTCCCTTTTCCTGTCTTCGACGCTCATCTCCCAATATGAGGGCTTCCCTGACGCATTGCACTTGTGCAAGATGTCCTTCATCTTGCTCATGAGATCGCACCACTTCTTCCAGCAGTCTTCCGCCGACCTGATCGAACCTGCCGCCTTCATCTTCTTGGACACCCACGCGTTCCTCACTGACCTTCTCGCGTGCTTCAGTCGACCTGACGGCATTTGCATCATGGCATCGTCCTCCTTCATGAACCTCACCAGATGTCGCATGCCCAATGGGACAATGTGTAGGGAGCCAAGGATCCGCAACGTGATGAAAAGGACTGAAATGGACAATGCAAGGTCAGCGTAGCATCAACAAGCAATGTACATTCCGATACATACAAGATGGCACAAAGTGGCGCAGCGGAAAACTTTAAAGAGAAGCTCTGATCTGATCTGAACTGACCCGACATCCATCATACATCACACATGCGAGAGGGGAGGAGGGACCACAATCACAGAAGAAAGGTCCCTCCTTCACACACATACATGGGGAGATGCCACGGATGAGAGATGGGGGGAAGGGACGACATGAAGGAGAAGGAGGCGAGGGAGTAGACCAAGATCGCGATAGCGAAGTCCCAAAAATAGTCCCTTGCCGAGTGTCCAATCAATGTCTGTCCCAGAAATGTCGAATCAGATCCTGGGCAATATGCCCAACATAACCTCTTCCTGTATCTCCTACCGATAACCTGTCTCACTCTTGTATGTGAAGAAGAGATAAGAAGGAGGAAGGAGGAAGAAGAAGAAGGGAGAGAGGGAGATGGAGGAGGAGGAAGAAGAAGATGATGTCCTCCTTGCTATCTCAGTTGTAGGTAGCTGTCACCGTACTGACTGTGGTCGTCGTCGTGTGCAGGTACCGCGTGGAGCCCGACTATGGCGCCAAGTAAGCTCGCCGTTTGCAGGTAAGGCCTCCGCCTCTCTCTACCTCCTACGCCTCTACTCCCTACTCCGCAACGCAACGCCAGAATAGCGTTGCCTTCAACCAGCAGCGTGTCACTCCAGAAGTGAGGTACTCGAACTGTCCTTGCCCAGCCGCTGCCCAGCTATTTGTAGCGCTGGGCGGGCTGGGCCTACCTGATGCTAGCCTCAGAAAAACGGCCCAGGTGGTCTGGGTCCCTACCAGACGTCCAGACCATTTTGCTGATGCAGCAACGCGCAGAAATGCGCCTGGCCTAAAAATGGCCTGGTACCTGTGCACCTAGCCCAAGGCGTCGCCTTGGGACGTGCAGGACCGAAACGACGCTTGCACCTACCGGTCTGGCGCCAAAATGCGCCTGGCCTCGTTTCGGGCCTGCCTCCGGTGTACCCAGTCCCAAGGTCCGGCCTTGGGGCTGCAAGTCCGAAATGGCACCTGAACAGAGAAAGTAAGACAACACTCACACACGAAAAGGTAAGTAAAACTACACCTATCTAACTAGTGTGCTACCTAGGGCTTGAAGGGCCGCCGTGGGCCTCCAGGGCGCGTGTTGTATGGTACGCGGCCTGGGGGGCCCTCAGCAACCGTCCGGCCCCTCAAATGGGGCCTGTGTGCAAGCGCAGCATGCAACACCCCCCCCTCCTTATGAATTCAAGCCGGGTCGAGGGCAACACCCCCCCCCCACAAAAAAAAATGGAAAAATAACATCTTTTTTTTTTTTTTTTTTTCC